CTAATGCCAGCTTATCCATGCTAGTCTCTAGCCTCTCCTATGCTAATGCCAGCTTATCCTTGCTAGTCTCTAGCCTCTCCTATGCTAATGCCAGCTTATCCATGCTAGTCTCTAGCCTCTCCTATGCTAATGCCAGCTTATCCTTGCTAGTCTCTAGCTTCTCCGATGCTAATACCAGCCTATCCATGCTAGTCGCTAGCCTGTCTGACGCTAACACCAGCTTGTCCATGCTAGTCTCTACCTCTCCGATGCTAACACAAATGTCTCCTCATTTGCCAGAGCCAGCCTCTCAGTATTTGGTGCCGACCTATCATAGTCTTAATTTTGGCCCTCATACCGCACCATACCTTTTATCATCTGTTTGCAGAGTTTTTAGAGCACAGAGCTTTTTCCTGCACCAGCAATGACTCAAATAATATCTAAGTACTTTAAAATACTGCTACAAGTGTCACTTTTATGAGTATACGTCACTTTTATAATATCTGAAAGTTACGTTTGTTGTTGCAAAAATCCAGTTTGTGTTTTGCATGCTTTGCACCTCTTTTATTTTTTTTACCACTTTCTCCCTAAAAACATTGTATAGAAAATCTAATAATTTTCAAGTCTTATCACAGAGTTAAATATAAGGTGTTTCAAATTAAATCCCTCAYCTCATTAATTTATTTTGTATATATCAGCACAGCTCGTCCCTGAGCGTTTCTCAGTGAATGAATCATTGTTTGTGCAACATTTTGAGCTCTTTTGTGCGTCTTTTATTGTCTGCATCCATGTTGTTTTTAGTTTGGGCAGTTTGGAGAACCCGTCACCTTCCATGAAGGCATAACAAACAACACGTAGTGTTCTTTTACCTGCTGGCTCAACACCAGACCGTACTTGAAGTGCAAAGCTTTTTATTCAACATGTTTTTACGTAATTAAAACAACGTTACACGCGTGAAGCTCATCATGCAAATGCACAGTTCAGGTTGATGAAGAGCCGACGTCGTGTTTCAGAAAGTTGCCTGCGAGTACGCTGCTTGGCCGTCGGCTCTTCCATGTTGAATAAAAAAGGTTTGTGTTTTAAATTTATTTTTTCATTAGGATTTATTACACCGTTGTCAAGTTTTCTTCTGGACTTATGTGTTTTGAATAAATGTAGAACATGAATACTTTAATAAATGATGCACAAAGTCTATGTTTTTCTGTGTTTTATTTTTCTGCACAATTTTTCGACACGTGACCCATTTTTGCAATTTTTGTTATTTCAACAATTTACATATCAAAACTTTTAGTTCCTTTAGGACATTCAGGCTGTAACTTTTTTTAAATATTTATTTGTTTTTTTGTAGATCTGTAGCATTTTATGCATTTTTTTTCCTCATTGAAAATGAATGGAGCTGTCTTCAACATCCTTTAAAATATTCACAAATCTTTCCTGCAGTTTTTGCCTTTTATTGTCATTTCTTTGTGCTAATTTCAGCTTCCTTCTGCTTCYTTTTTGCTAATTTTAGCTGTTTTCATCTATTTTTCAAATTTTTACAGTTATTTAAAGCTTTTTAAGCCTTTTCAGCCTCATTCTGCTGTTTTCTGCCTTTTCAGTCACTCTTTTGCTGTTTTTTTTTTTTTTTTTGCTATATGAAGCTTTATTCATCTAGATTCACATTTTGGTGGTCGTTTCAAACTTTCCTTAGCTTGACATTAAATGGTTACAATACACGCAGTAAGAGATGCTGTACATAGAAATGGATGTAAATAAAACAAAATAAAAATATATAAATATTAGGGCTGTCAAATGATTAAAAGGTAGCTGTGAATTAATCACGATTAATCTTAAACTTAATATAAAAC